GGTAGACTGTCGAACATCTGAGCAATGGATAGTGCAGCCTCCAGACATATGCTCGTCGATGTATAATTCGAGAAAGGAAACGAATCCTCGGGTATCCATCGAGATCCGGAAGTATCGGATATTGGGGAGCTGGAAGAGATGGGGCTTTCTAACTGAGTATTTGCAGGAGGCGCAGCTGGGAGTTGGCTGAAGTTACTGGAACAGCAGGCTATCGGCTGTATAGTATCCTGATATTCCAGTACGCTTGGAGAGCTCTCTGTGGTCGGACTGCCTATGCTGGCACAAGTCAAGTCACAGTGCTTTTTGATGAATATTGGTATGTCGAGAAAGGCGCGGAATCGATGCGTCTTTATTCGCGCACTATTGCCAAATATTGTAAGAAAGGTATAAAGTCATTATAGAGTTTGATGAAAAGGATGTTCCCTGTTCTCACCTGCACAGCTTTATTCTTGAAATATATTGAATACTTTGAGCCGTGATACTTTCTATATCTTGAGGGGAAGCAACCGAGGATTCCTGGAGTGGTGCATCTATTTGTGCTAGTACAGATGAAGTCCAAGCCGTAAGCTTTCCCATCCGTTCAAAGATGACAGCCAGGTTCGCTTTTGCCCTCAATGCTTGATTAAAGTCGATGATATACTGGGTGGCGGCGACCAGCGCCTGCTGTGCTTGAATTAAAATAGACCATGCCTAGGGAGAGAATAGAAGTTAACGAAATTGGTCAGCACAAAAATGGAAATGAGATAGTGGAAAAAGATAGTGGGTAGACATACTCTAGAATCGGATGTAAATCGCGGATATGGTGTTGTAAATCGGGGGTCATGTGTCAATATCGTTATCGGCTATGTATATACATTAGCCCCTTCTACATTGTTTAATTGATGAAAGGGGTAACTATACTTACCACAGTACCCACAATGGATCCTTGACAAACGCAGTAGAACTATGAAGCCAGTTAGAAAGTTGTATTATTTTATGGAATCTTATGCATGAAATGGAATCTTCTCGTACAGTCATCCACCATGCTCTTCTTCTGGCTTCGGCGAACGGGCTGTCGTCGTGCGTGATGGCATGTAACGAAAGGTTCATTGCCATGATGTACGCCTGGCCCGCTCTATGCCGCATTTTGATCAGGTTCCCCCTTTGAGTATATTCGTATATACTTAAAATCAAAAGGGCAAGGATGCCTTCGAGGTCGGTTGGGGTGAGTGGGTGGACCATCAGCCTGGTAGGTACGGTTGAATTATGGGTCAGAGCTTCTGATGGACTGGTGACAGATTCTTGAAGGTCTGATTCTGCTTCGATACTTGTAACAGCTTCTCGGGCAAAAGCATGAGCATAGGCTCTTCGAAGGAGTACTGATTCGGGTGCAAATGAGTTCGGATCCCGGGGGTGAGGGATCAACGCTAGTATGGCCGAGATAGCCAGAGTGACAGGAGATTTGGGCTTGTATGGAAGGACAGGGTCTGAGGTAGGGGTAGCTGGAGCTTTGATTGGTGTGTTCAATGGCCGGTCAACAGTTATTGGTGCGTGTGGTGGGGGGAAGATGGGAAAGTAGTAGTGGATATAAATATAGTAAGCATTTAGTCTGTGTTATCATTGTTAGTGTTGCGTAACGGCACAGATAACTAATGACTATAGTCAAGGTAAAAAAGGTATAAAATATACTAGGATAACTACTCACATGTCTTGTTCATTCCCATATAGCCTCACCCTTGGCGGCTCAGCGGGAGGCACAGCTGGTGGGTGAGCGGGCGTCGAATGAACCGGAACTTGCTGCTGAGCATTTGGAGGCACAAAGAGGCCTTCAAACATCGATTGTACATCGACCGGGAAATCGAGATGCCTTAACCCGGCACCCGGGACGGCGAGGTCGTCTACCTGGGCGAATATCTCTACTAGCCAGGGTCAGCCAGAAGAGAATACTGAGAGAATGATATTGACTATAACGATGGTATAAAAACGCTTGCATGTAGGACAAACCTTCGTCTATTCGGGGAACTGGATGCACAGCAGACCAGACTCTGCTTTGCATCATCGTATCGCCCAGGGACGAAGGAGGATCAGCCCTCTTCTTCCGAGGACCTCCTCGCTTGCTCGGCAGATAGGAGCATTCTTTTCCCTTGAGGGCGCACTAGAGATGACAACATTGAACGTAATTGGTATGATGCCTTTCAACAAAAAAAAAAAAAAAAAAAAAAAAAGTAAAGATGGAGGACTTTCTCTTTCTCTCTCTTGTTCCTCTTTCCCTCTGCGCATACGCTGATGGTATGATACTGCAGAGGAAGGAGTAGATTAAGAGTAAAAGAGGACAATCCGGAGCTGATTGATGCTATGTTTTTGCACGTACGCAGGAGCATGGATTCTTTCCATCGCATCTGATTCTTGATGCCCGACTAGAAGGGTCTCCCTGGTTAGATATAGCCCGTCTTGATATATTCAAACAGCAGATATATAAAGATTGAAAAATAAAATAAAAATAAAATAAAACATAAAACATAAAAATAAAGCAGAGCTATAGTTAGACAGGAGCAAAGGAGCAAACAACGGGGAAAGGGACGGTCAAGGTGGATAACAGCCGATATAGATATATATAATCCAGATATATAAACTAGGTGAACGGGAGGAACGAGAGAAGGAAAAAAAAAATAATCATAATAATAATAATAATAACGGGAAGAAGAAACTAACATGAAGGAGAAGAAAAAACATACCATGAGAGACAGGCGACCTTGACCGGCGGCTTTGCGAACTTCTTCCGAGCTACTTTGGTAATAGACGGGTTATCAATGGCGGACGGGCGCCTATCATCTTCCATGGCGCCGGCTGACAGCATCTGTCCGGGCGGGAGTGATGTACGGAGTATATGGCTGTCGTAGAGGCAGATGGCAGAGGCCGAACAGCGGGAGAGAGGAAGAAAGAAGACAAAAAAGGAGGGCCCTTCTTCCAAAACCACCCCCCCTTGCCTGGGCCTTCGAGATAAAAAGAGGCGCTAAAAGTTTGTCCGGATATATGCTCAAGGGAACAAGGCGAGAGAGAGAGAAGAACTAGAGGATGGTGACGGGGAGAAAGGGAAGGGAAAAAATGTGATGTATGGAACGAGGCTGGAGGCTAAGTTGGATGGCCTGGCCGGTCAGGTTAGCTGGTTGGCAGACGAGCTGTGACTAGCCAGCAAGCAGCAGCAGAGAGAGCAAGCAAGATATCCACCATGGAGCAGGCGCAAAGTCAAGGCAGTTTGGCTAAGTACGGAGTTGCAGCGTCGTTGGGAGGTCAGGGGGAGAGAGTCCAGCTCCCTCTCTGTCTGTCTGTCTGTCTGTCTGTGGCTGTCTGTCTGGTTGTCTGGTTGTCTGATTGTCTGATTGTCTCTCGGGGAAGTTAGATGAGCGGCAGTGACTTGCAAGACAAGGAAGAGAGCAGCAGGAAGAGCAGCCAGCAAGGCGACGTCCTCGTTGGCTGACTTAAGGGATTGGCCGGTCGAACGGGTCGGAACTGGTGAGACGAGACGGAAGACAAGGAGAGAGACTTGAGACTGGCACTGGGCGCGGGGAGATGTCTAAGATGCTTCTTCTCCGTCCCGTCATAATAATATGTATATATGTATAATCTGTGTGTATATATATATATATATATACACCATCAACAGAGAGCCGGAGTCCCGTCGATGCTGTTCGTATGGCTGGCCGATGGTTTGCGGTTGACCGTTCGATGCATATGAACTAACTAGCTACCCAGACAGCTGTTCTTGTCTTTCCCGTACGAGAGAAACGAGCTGATCCGGAGAACGGCGAGCGGCTTCAGGGGGGACTCCCTCCTCTCGTCTGCACCTTTTTATATATAACAGTGGTAGCTGATGGATGTAACTAATGGATGTCCTATCAGATATCCCTCCGCTCCTTGCAAATAAAACAGGCAAAAAAGTAACAAGAAGCTGGTGGAAGAACATGCGAGAGAGAGATAGAGAGATAGACTGACGGACAGGCGGACGGACAGGACCCTTGACTAGCTTGACTGGCTGACCTGCTTTCCTTTCTTTTCTTTTCTCTCTCTTCTACTTACATATAAGGAGAACAGCCTTCTTGTTCCTTTTTCCGCCTTGGGCTGTTGGTTTGATATGTACTTGTTATGCATGCTTTCTTTCTCCTGTGCTACCAGGAGATGTACATGCAACTACTAACTACATATATATAAGCTACGACTGCCGGCTGCTCGATCTCTCGAGAGATCGTGCACACAGGAGGAAGAAGAAAACATATCCGACTAGTTAGCCCATACATCGATACGAAAAATGATGAGAAGAGAGAGAAAAGAAAATCTGGGATGAAGCTGCAGCTGAGCGAAAGAGAGCCCAAATAAGCTTCACGAACCTGCGACATATTACAAACTGCAAGGATGGGGATGTCTTCGCTAACATTAATTTTCTTTTCTTTCTCTTGGTTATATTAGTTATGGGGCAAGATGCTGGATGGGCCATGCCATGCCTGGGGACGGGGATGGAGCCTGGGACCGTGACCGGGGGGAGCAAGTGATAATGATGATGATGATGGAGCAAGCCACTGGGATCTCCCGTAGGTAGCCTGGGCGGATGGCGGAGAAGAAGCTGTTTTTCCGACTGTTCTCCTCGTTCGATGGGCGCCAGCTTGGGTGCATGGATGAAAAATAAGGCAAAGTCTTCTGGTGGGAGAGTTACCAGGAGAGGCCCAATAATAGAATAGAATCTGTTGTGCTGCCTTCCCCACAAGGCAAACGCATCGACGTTGACGTTTGATGTTCCTTCCGGGTATTTTAAGTGGTGTGTGGCTGGTTAACTAGTGATCGTGAGTTCTGGCCTTGGAGGGAGTGAAGTACTCCGAAGAAAAGTTCGATCGATTCCCTGCTTGCTGTCCAGGCTGTCTTTGCTTTGGTGATTATTCTCTGCAAAGAGCACCCCAAGGCTTCATCTAACCGCTGTTCATGCTATTTCTCAGTGGAAGAATATGAAAATACGGAGGTAGTGTCTCTGGTCAGTGGCCTCTAGCTGCCCCTGAAGATACCACTCTCACGCTGTCCCAGACGCTCTGTGATACCTTGACGGGCAGCTTATGCCCTTTCAGACACTGGTCGATCAACCACATCCCTACGACAAATTCCTCCCGAGACAGCAGCCCATATGCATGGTGGCTAACAATATTCCAGATTTGTTCCAGCATCTGCGTCGGTAGCCTGCTCCGAGTCCAGATGTCCCGGACCACCATGCTCGATACAGTCTCCTCCAGGATAACAGATCTATCCTTGATATTGACCTGTTCATGCACGCCTACAAACAGGCCTTTGTTCGCTGCCCACACCCCCTCGTAGCGCTTCCTCTCCGCTGCAGTCACCCTGTCACGCCAACGCTTGCGATCGCCTTCTCGATGCTTATGCGGGTGCGTTCGGATGATTTTCCGGCCATGTTCCTTGCTTCGATGTATCTCGCCGGCTGCAAAGTCCGGCTCAGGCAGGGCGGGGGCTCGCATTGTCCGTTTCATGGTCGTCGTCTTGTTGGGGCTGGGTGTCCTTCTGCTTTTGCCATTATTGTCTCCCCTGTCTGGCCGGTCGCTGCGGTTGCCACTGTGGCTAACTTGCAGAAACGAGCGAGATCTTGATCGTCGACTAGGCGGTAGCGGAGGAGGGTTGCTACTGTTGCTGCTATGGCCTTTGGACGGTGACGGAGTGCGACGGGATGCCAGCGTTGAAGCTGCGATTGCATCGGCCAACGCACTCTCGGAAACCCCAGAGTGCTGGGATCGTAGTGGGCTTGCGCGAGCATGGGGGAGCGTATTTGGTCGCGGATTCTGGTAAGGCAAGGAAGGGAGCGGTTTACGTGGAGTCAGAGGCCTATCAATGGTTGAAGACGCAGTCGTTATCGATTGCCGTGGTGCTGGAGGCGGTGGTTTCTCCTTGCCCTGAGGAGCTGTAGAGGATCTTGGGGGTAGAGCTGGAGGTGGAGTGATGGTTCTATCACGCCGCGGTAGAGGAGGAGGTCGTGGATGAGACCCTTGGTCAGGTTCTGAATCCATCTTTCTTGACAATGGATTATCTCTGGTCATTACTGACCTGTTCGGAAGCGGAGGAGGGGTATTGACTCCATATTTCTGCTGCGTTGGCATGTTTTGTGCAGCTGAGAGCTGTCCTGCATCGGTCACATCCGAATCTGGAGGTACATTGCCTTTGTCCCTCCTCGAGCTCATAACGATAGTACCTATATCGACTTCTTCACGGATAGCTGGCGAATTTGGGACACGCTGGGCCTCATGTGTAATAAACTCTTGATATTCCCTGGCTCGCGGCGAGCTTATCGTAGCAGCAGAGGCGGCCCGGGACGGGGACCCTGATCTTGCTTTGGAGCCCGCAGCAGATCTATCCACAGCAAGTTTAGCTGCAATGCGCTGCGTGTTGTATTCTGGCCCTATTTTTGGCTGCGTCACTATGGTAGCATTTATGCTGGCTTTTCTATAGGCCGTTGGGTCGTTGTTCTGGGCCGAGGTTACAGTCTCCATAGACTCGGCAAGTTGTGGAACTCGAGTTTCTCCTGTGGTAGAACCTCCTCCTCCTCCTCCTCCTCCGCCACCACCACTACTAGTTGGATGAGCAAAGAGCTGAATCCTGTCCTTCACAGCTGTCCCAGTGCCTGTTGTAACCAGATGTTCATCATCACCCTCGTCAGCACCAGCACCGGTCCGATTGTGGATTGCAGCGGCGTCCGCAATCAGAGCTGCTTTTCGAGCTCCATCATGGATAGCTCGCCCCGCTGGCTGCCTGGGCTCTGGTATCCTTCTCTCTGGGCTCCCGCTGTTGCGTGGCTGTTTTTGGCGTGTTTGTGATGCGAACGCCAGAGTTGCTCCTTGAAGGGCAGCGGAAGTGTTCGTTGTCTTTTTCCTGTAGTCCCCATTATCGGAATTTGAATTTGAACCATGCCTGGCCGCAGGACTTGAAGCCATTGGAATTCGGTGCCTCTGGCTAATCGAATGGACAGAAAGAGAAGAAAGTCGGAATTTGAGACCAAATTTGGCGAAGAAACACTAGTATGGAAGCAAAACGAGAGAAAAAGCAAAGATGAGCTGTCAGGTCGGGTTTACTCTGGACTTCCCAAGTGTCTGTTCTCAAAATATGATATGACAGCTCTATTCGCGGAGGCGATCAGACGGCGCTTGCTGCCTCACACGTCCTTTGCAAATAATGGTCACCAAGCATTCTTGTAACTAGCTTGTCGAAGTAGTTAGTTTGTTAAGTGGGGAGAGATCAATCTCTTGGCCAACCTGCCATCCATGGTCCCGCAGTCAGAACCCAAACATCGCCGAACATAACTTCAAGCATGAACATTTTGGTTGATACGTTGGAGTTATCTCGGATGAGAGTTAGCTGTCCCCAAAACAGACACTCATTGTGTCGCAGATACGCATGCTGTCATGTCTCTTCAAGTTCATTGGTCAAGGGTGCAAAGTGCTTCCATTCTTGCCAGCTAACGGCCGATAGTATCAAATCGTGGTAGTTATGTGCCTAGCTCTGTAGTTAATGAGTGGAAAGTCAACGGAAAAAATAAGCTGGTCACTTGAATGGGAAAAGAAACAGTATGAAAGAAAGTATTACTGTACGGAGCATAAGTCACTAAATTCCGGGCCGGGCCTTGTAGATTTTTCATGTATTTTCTCCCTTCATTGTTCGGCGCAGCTTTAGTTAGTCTAATGCGTTGGATCAAGTCGTTTCGAAGTGTGTGTTGGCATGACAATCGTAATGGCGATTATAGCTGTTTCCCGTTTCTGCACAAAGACGACAGCCAACAGGCAAAAAGCGGTGATGGATTATCAAAGGACTCTTGGTATATCCATTATCGGATACGAAATCTCCCCATGCGATAAACTGTCCCTGTGACTGAAGCCTGATGTCGAGGGACCCTCCACCTGGCCAATCTGCCTTGCCAGTATGAGCGACTACTCGAGGCCACCCCCCTGTATTAAGTTTCTGACTTGCAGCCGTTATTTCCCTGTCTTTCTTTCTTTGCCGACCTCTTTTTAACACGCATGGCAGTGGAAGAAGAGCTTTTCCTCTCGTCTGCTGCCGGACAACTAGCAAACAAGTTAACAGTCAAGTTAGTTACCCCAGACATGAAACGCTAGTTGACTAGCAAGCGGCCCGCGTCGAGAGTTCAAAACTTATAACCAAGGGGAAAAGAAAAAGAAAGCACGTCTCCACATAACTTTGCAAGGAAGTTAATATCTGGAAGTTATTCCAGTGATATGTCATTGGAAAGGATGGAGTGAGATGGCACTTCGTATCATTAATCTGCTCAAGACAAGTCAGCAATCCAGTAGACTACTGAGTAACTAGTTAATGCTGCGTAGCTTTTTGTTATTTTAATGCCACCCACGGAGTAGCAAATGGTATTTCAGCCTGTTAACCTACTTGGTTTAATGCCTACTTGGTTTAATGAGCTTGGAGCGTTGGGTTGCTCTAAACTGGGGAATGGATGTGACAGATACACTGCAGCCAGAAATTGACTGCCCTTCTTGAGATACGAACTGTCGACGAAGGCCTCGTATCTGAGGGTAGCTCTGATGATAAGTCAATGAAGAGGAAGTTGTTGAAGTCGTTGACAGTGCAAAAGTTGATGTCGTTGTTAGGCGGCTGAGGTTGAAGTTAACAATTTCCTAAAAGAGCAAATGTAACTACAGTCCAGCGCTCTCACTTCCGACTCTACGGCCACAATTTCAAGAACGCTTAACAGCGGTATGCTGTCTATGAAGTGTTCGTTGTCCAATGGCCATGTTATTGCATTTTAATTCGAAATATACTGAGGATCGTTAACATTGGAAGTAAAGGAACGAATGACACCATTATATTTTCTCCCTCTGATTGTTCAATTTTCTTAACACGAAGCTCTCCCCTCCACAGTCTCTTTCATCTCATTAGCCTGTCAGCATGACACTTCGACAGTGCTAGAAGAGCAACCCAGGACTTTCCAGAATTTCCGTAGGCCTTGTCCCCGCCACGCCCCATGGCCGCATCATTGTAAGGGAGAAACCTTCCGAGTGAAAAGTACAGAGAGGCAGTGAGACTAAAGGTACTCCTCTTATGTATTAATAGCCACTGAGTGTAAGAATTGACCATTTTTGACGGATCTCCCTGTGATGCAAGATTGCAACTCACGTTCCCCAGGTATGCTTAGGTGAAATATCGGAATAGGGACAAGGCAGAGTATAATGTGGAGGCTGTCTGGTGGTGAAAATATTATATAGGACAAGGGCTGCCAGTTGCTCGATCCGATAACCCTCATATGTTCCTTATAGACGCTGCGTTACTCGAATGATAGAGCTGGTTCTTGCCAGAATCATCTGGAGGTTGCACACCGGCTTGGTTTTTTTCTGTGAAATCCTGTGAAGTTTGGTAACTGGGTATCATGCTTCTCCTAGGTGGGTTTTTTCTAATAGCGTGAGCCTGAGAGCAATGCTCTATACCTCCATACCAGCTCCCCTCCTATGAAATTTAGCCATACCACCGGAGGTGGACTCATGGACATGGCAGGATCTTTCTCTAGAAGCTCTACGTTCTTCCAAAGAAAAGATGTATATATGTTTGCGAGGACCAAGGGAATGTGGACACCGGGCCTCATTGAATTCCAAACAGAGCAAACTAAAGACTACGGTAGAAGCCGTCGTCAAGTTGATCAGGCATGATGGAATGACAATAGGAAAGCCTCTGCATAGGGCTTGAGTGTATCTCAAAGAGGGAACCCCAAATATAATGTATTATCACTCGAGCCCTTGGGGTGAGAACCTGTGGTTTTTGGCCAGTTCGTGGCAGGGCGGAGACAGGGGAAAGCACTTTGTGGCCGCCAGTTGAGAGATCCATGGGGTACACACCACAAGCTACCTAGACGTCATTATCAGGGGAAACAGAAACCCCGGTTCGTCATGGAGTGCAACCTCGACTAGGTAGTTTTATTACCATCATCGGGTACGTCTCGCTCTGGCGTCTCCTGCCACGGTTCCATCGGGAACGTACAGTGCTGACATGCTCTATGCAGGGTGCCAATGGTTGGGTTGCTCAGAGTAGGTCAGAGCCAAAGGTATCATACAGTGGCCAGGAATGATGACTTGCTTCTCATAGAGCCCTCTTTTGCCGTGTCTACCGTCTCTGTACCATTTAAAGACAAGGCGTTAACGCCGCAAAACAGATATCAACCAAATAAACACTTTGACCCCATGCTGTCATAAGTATTCGTCTCGTTTGAATTCGCTTTCGATGTCGACGTGGGTTTGCCACCAGCCTGATGGCAAGTGGCCATCTACGACAGGGTAAATAGATGCCACTGATCCTTGAACATGTAGTTTAGCGGACACCAAGCAGTCAGTGTAGATATATAACTGAATAAACAGCCATAACTACTGTAAGTTCATCGCTGGCCAGCTAGTCGACTAGTCGGCGATCCCTGAGCCAAACGCCTCTTCTTCGTCTGTTCTCCTGAACAACTCGTTGGGGAAGAAAAAGAACAGCGGCCAACGCGAAGTCCTCGTCTTTCTCACCCCCCTTTTTTGCTCTGTTGTCTCTTTTTTGCCTTTTGACTTAGTTAAATAAGTGGGGGGTCGGCAAGGGCAGCGAGTTGGAGGATTACTATTTAACAAACACATGTTAGAGAGCCAGAGCAGAGCGAGGAGACGGGCAAATCTTGGGGTTTCAACGTCAGCGAAAAGAAAAACAAGAGCAACCAGAGCATCCCATAATTAACACCCCGGAGAAGTCGTGCTTGCAAGATGTCCTGGAATATCACAAAGAGTACGGGAACAGTCCGTCCCCCCTGTCTTTTCTGGCGATGCTAATCCGCTGTCCCTTTAGAGCTGAAAGAGACCCATCTGAGCGCCCTCTCCAACCTCTCCAGCTCCCTAGCTTCGAGTAAGGACAAAGATGCTCCTACAACGCCTACGGTGAGCAGTGCCAGCTCTACCAAGGAAGGTGGTCCGGCTCCAGATACGAATACGTCGAAGCCAGGTATTCTCGTCGTCACCCTCTACGAAGGACGTGGTTTTTCCCTGCCAGAACAGTATCGGGAGGCCTTCGCTTCACACCACCGTACCAACAGCAGCACCGGAGGCGTGGCTGGTTCTACACAACAGAGCTCACTTGCAGTAGGCCGTGGTAATGGCTCTACCAGGCCACAGACATCTGGAGGTGGCTTTACGGGCATCCCAACGAACCACGGAAGGATATCCCGAAAATACATGCCATACGCACTGCTAGACTTTGATAAGCTCCAGGTCTTCATCAACTCCATAGACGGCAGTCCTGAGAATCCCGTTTGGGCTGGTTCCAGCACTCAGTACAAGTTTGACGTCTCACGTATTGCTCAGCTCACTGTGCACATGTACCTTCGAAACCCCAATGCTGCACCGGGATCTGGCCGGAGCCAGGATATTTTCCTAGGTGTTGCTCAGATTAGCCCGCAATTCGACGGGCCTTACCGTGAGGTTGAATGGATCGATTTGCAGTACGGTACCGGCAAGCTTCAGATCGGCTGGGAATATGTTGAAACGCAAACGAATAAGCTGAACGTTGACGATTTTGAATTGCTCAAGGTCGTAGGGAAGGGTAGTTTTGGTAAAGTCATGCAGGTTCGAAAGAAAGATACCCATCGTATTTACGCCATGAAGATTATCCGAAAAGCAAAGATCATATCCCGCCAGGAAGTGACACATACTCTTGCTGAGCGTTCAGTCCTTGCCCAGATAAACAACCCATTCATTGTGCCCCTTAAATTTACTTTCCAATCCCCTGAGAAGCTCTATTTTATTTTGGCCTTTGTCAACGGAGGAGAATTATTCTACCATCTAACCAAGGAGCAGCGTTTTGACATTAACCGTTCCCGCTTCTATACTGCCGAGCTACTATGTGCTCTCGAATGTCTTCACGGCTTCAACGTTATCTACCGCGACTTGAAGCCTGAGAACATCCTTCTGGACTACCAAGGCCATATTGCTCTTTGTGATTTCGGGCTCTGCAAGCTTGAGATGAAAGACGAAGATGAGACACACACCTTCTGCGGAACACCAGAATATTTGGCCCCGGAGCTTCTCACTGGTCACGGATACAACAAGACTGTTGACTGGTGGACCCTAGGCGTCTTATTGTATGAAATGCTTACTGGTCTTCCACCATTCTACGCTGAAGATACGAACGAGATGTACCGCAAGATTCTATCCGATCCTCTCACCTTCCCAAGCCATGATATTGTTCCTGCCACTGCAAAAGATCTCCTAACTAAACTTCTTAACCGAGAACCCTCTGAGCGACTGGGTGCCAACGGGTCGGCTGAAATTAAAGCTCACCCGTTCTTCCACGCAATTGACTGGAGGAAGTTGCTACAACGAAAGTATGAACCGGCTTTTAAACCCAATGTAGTAAGTTCCACCCTTACCCCGGGTTTGCCCTATATCATCATATCTAACTATTTCTCAAAGGCCGACGCTCTTGATACCGCCAACTTCGATGTTCAATTCACATCCGAACCAGCCCAGGACTCCTTCGTGGATGATCCCGTTCTCTCCCAAACGATGCAAAACCAGTTCGCTGGGTTCAGTTATAACCGGCCTGTTGCCGGCTTAAACGACGCGGGTGGCAGTATAAAAGACCCTTCGTTTATAGACAATGTGCAAGACTAAAGTTCATTTGCACTGTTTAAATGGTGTTTCATTTGTACTGGACATGGCACTGGTCGGTCATATCTTAACATTTCGTATTTTAGATGCAGTAGCACATTCAGCATATCAGTCTTTTTTGGCACTAGTGACCAACTATATCGCCCTTGCCTTTTTTTTCTTTTTGGCTTTTGCTGAAAAACGACTACTCATTTGTACCTGAAATTGTCATTTTAACTCGTCCTATGAATGTTGTTGAATTCAGGTGTTTGCCGCAGCGTTTTTGACCTCCGAAAGCACCATTGATAATGAGTTATTTTTAGCGATGACGTCAGGTCACGTGAAAAGGCGTGCCGTTCGTGTCTGCCTAGAATCTGGAGAGTCCAACATTGAAGAAGAAAGAAAGCCCAAAACATCCCTTTCTGGGCTCTACCAGCCTGATGAGTGGTGGTATTGACTCTATTCCCCCTCTTTTTGCGCGTATATTTAGTCACTTTGATACCCTGATATACCATGGAGCCGAACCCAGGTGGTGCCATTAGGGAGACGGAGAGGGAACTTGACGAGAAGTATGATACCCGTCAAGCCATAATATCGAAGAGCTAATGATCCTATAATGATACTAATTTTACTCTTGAATAAGATATCCAAATAGACCACGTAACCACGGACAAACCCTTCCCTTTCATGATTTGTTCATATCACTCTTTAACCCTCTCAACGATCTCAAAAAGAAGCCTGCAGGACCCCCCGCGGCTCGAAGGAAGGCAGGGCCTACTGGGCGTAACAACCTCTCACCACATGAGTTGCGTCGTAATGTGATTGAACGCTTCATCTCGCGATGGCGACAACAAGTCGGTAATGACTTTTTCCCAGCATTCCGGCTTATTGTCCCCGAGAAAGATCGTGATCGTGCCATGTATGGATTAAAAGAAAAGGCCATTGGCAAATTGCTAGTCAAAGTCATGAAGATTGACAAAAATTCTGAAGATGGCTACAATCTTCTAAACTGGAAACTTCCAGGCCAAAGGGCTGCAACCGCAATGACAGGTGATTTTGCCGGTCGCTGCTTCGAAGTCATCTCCAAGAGGCCCTTGAGAACGGAGGTGGGTGATATGTCTATAGCTGATGTTAACTCCCGGCTTGATGATTTGGCTGTCGCTTCTAAGGAGGACGCGCAGCTACCCATCCTAGATGAATTTTATCGGCGGATGAACCCGGAAGAGATGATGTGGTTGATCAGAATTATTTTACGGCAAATGAAAGTTGGTGCTACCGAGCGTACATTCTTCGAAATATGGCATCCAGATGCGGAAAGTCTTTTCAATATTTCTAGTAGTCTTCGCCGAGTATGCTGGGAGTTATACCTACCAAGTATTCGCCTTGAGGCGGATGAAGCTCGTGTCACTCTAATGCAATGCTTCCAGCCGCAGCTGGCTCAATTTCAAATGCACTCCTTTCAAAAGATAATTGAAAGGATGAGGTTGGCTGAAGATGATCCTGAATTTTGGATTGAAGAGAAGCTCGACGGCGAGCGCATGCAGCTTCATATGGAGACGAACAGCTCTATACCCGGCGGAAAGAGGTTTGAATTTTGGTCAAGAAAAGCTAAAGAATACACGTATCTATATGGAAATGGTTTCTATGATGATAATGGATCTCTAACGAGACATTTGAAAAATGCTTTTGCTGATGGAGTTGAAAGTATTATCCTTGATGGAGAGATGATTACCTGGGATCCAGAACAAGACGCCCCCGTACCATTTGGTACGCTTAAGACGGCGGCCTTAGCAGAGCAACGAAATCCATTTTCTGCAAGTGGCCATCGGCCCCTATTCAGGATATTTGATATCGTTTACCTCAATGGTAAACCCCTAACGAGATATACACTTCGGGACAGGCGTCGAGCGCTAGAAGCGAGTGTGATTCCGGTTCACCGGCGTTTTGAGATTCACCCCTATGAAGTTGGCAAAAGTGCGAGTGATATTGAACCTCTACTTCGGAAAGTAGTAGCAGAGGCGTCCGAGGGACTTGTCTTGAAGAACCCGAACTCACCATATCGCCTCAACGAACGCAATGATGACTGGATGAAGGTGAAGCCAGATTACATGACTGAATTTGGAGAATCGCTGGATTGTATTGTAGTGGGCGGCTATTATGGCTCTGGCAAAAGAGGCGGAAATATATCAAGTTACCTCTGCGGCCTGAGGGTTGACGATACGCATGCCGAGGACGGGACTAATCCGATGAAGTGCTATTCCTTCTGTAAAGTTGGAGGGGGATTTACAGCAGCAGATTATGCAAACATTCGTCACCATACCGATGGCAAATGGCATGACTGGAATCCAAAAAAGCCGCCTACTGAATATATAGAACTTGCAGGTGGTGATGCACAACATGAACGACCTGATGTCTGGATCAAACCCGATGATTCAGTTGTTGTATGCGTCAAGGCTGCAGCTGTTACACCTAGTGATCAATTTCGACTGGGACTAACAGTTCGATTCCCTCGGTTTAAACGGCTAAGGATGGACAAGGACTGGCAGAGTGCGTTGTCCGTCCAGGAATTTATAGACCTAAAGGCCGGGGCTGAGCAGGAGAAGAAAGAAAAGGACTTTCAAGTGGATAACTCCCGCAGGAAGAAGACCAAAAGGAGTAAGAAGAAAGAACTCACTGTTGTCGGCTCCGGCGAGCCAAATGTTGCCTATGTTGGGAGCAAAACTCATATTTTTGATGGGCTTTCGTTCTGTGGGTTAAAAATACAGGCTCTTGAGGTGAATTATGCTGATATTCCTATAGTTGTCATGACCGAGTCCGTGAAGCCAATGAAGAAATCCAAAGCTGACCTGGAACAGCTGATCAAGGCAAACGGAGGAAAGATATACCAAACAAATAACGCAGCAAAGGACACCTATTGTATCGCAGACAGAAGTATGTAAATGATCCTTTGTCACTCAATTTTCTATCAATGCTGATATGGTCCAGGAACCGTAAAGGTGGCATCATTGCAAAAATCTGGCCTTGAGAATGTCATTCGACCTTGCTGGATTTCTGACTGTATCAGCCAAAACGAACACGATACTGGGGAAAGCAGCATTTTGCTTCCTCTAGAGCCACGGTAAGTTGCTTTATATCAATATGTTTTATAGAGGTCAGCGTTGCTAACATTATGTGCAGACATATGTTCTTCACTAAAGAAGATCAAAAGGAGGAAATCAGCAATAATGTCGACAAATATGACGACAGCTTTGCCAGAGACACCAATATAGCGGAACTTACAGAGGTAACTTTCCTCATTAGAGTGTCTTTGGCTCCCAGCAATACTAAGTTTCCTTTAGATACTACACAAGATGGATGTGATATCAGATATATCTGGAGAAGAACGACTAGACATCATGTCTGATCTTACTCTAGATGGAGATCAAGGGTGGCTTTTCAAAAATCTGACAATATTCTTTGCCCCCTGCGGCCATCTGTCCAGTGTCCCCGGAGAGCCCTGTGTCGATGGGTTGTCGATACGTCAGCAATTGGCTCGAAACATCACCACTTTTACGGGAGCCACAGTGACGGACCAGCAGAAGAACAATCGGATCACCCACGTTATTGTTGATCCCTCGGAGGATAGGGATCTGGAGACTGGCAAAACCAAAAACTATACTACTCTGAGGTCAGAGTTTGCAACCCGCCGCACCATTCCTCATTTCGTGACTGTTCAGTGGGTTGAAGAATGTTGGAAAGAAAAGACACTGGTTGATGAAGAGCGTACGTATTCCATGCTAGCCATTGCTCTGCCAGGGCTCTGCTAATAAGTCTATATAGGATTTTGTGCACCAAAATAAGCCAATGGTTATGGCAGTTACGAGTTTCTTACCTTTACAGAACACTTCGAATCGATCTTTAAAGTATGCGGATTATAACTATGAAAGGATTAATGAGGGAAAACATGAAATTGATGTGAAATTTGGGTGCTCTGCAGTTATTATTTTTCCCACGCACTATGTTTCACTGGGCTCGTAACTTTGCCCCTTGATTGCCCAAATCAACGCCTGTTGGGGACAGACAGAAGACTGCTCAGGCACTGAGTCACAAAGGTGTTTTTATCTATTACTGTTCCATAGAGTCAGTACCATTAGCATCACGTTCGTATCAAAAGCCAGTCCAGGATGGCCAACGTGCAGCGCTAGGAATCTGATATCAACGTTTCTCCCGTAACCGAGAGTCCCTGCATCCATTCTGCATACTCCTGATCTTCCGTTGCTGCGCACAATTGCCATAATGAACCCGATGATTGGCTACCGTTTGATCGCAGAGCCATATCCCTGACCGTCGTATCCTCGGACAACCTGGCGGCTGAGGGGGGAGAGAGTTAGCTCACCACGACAGCCTCGCAGACGGGCCAGTCCTCCTCTTCTAACCCGCCCAGCCCTCGGATATGTCTAAGGTTGTGATGTAGTTGCATATAACTGCCCGGCTGGCTCGTCGCTTTTGATATCGACCGGCACCGTCTGAGAGAAGTGCGGAACCTGGCCCTGGCAGAGGTACCTAACACAGGGCTATTCCCAAGGAAGCTCAGGGACTCGTGCCTCAGATCCGATAATAGCAAGCTCAACGAAAGCCCATCTTTGGCCTTTCATTCGTGCGAAGCCGCAGTAGTCGAGGTGGCGTTGTTTCTCTTGCATCGACCCTAATCCGCCCGGCCGTCTTTGCTCCCCATATAAAGGTCCGCTGATATAGCATGCAACTAGTTAACCGCTCCTCTACATCTCTTCTCTCCCCTCTTCCTCGCCCGCTCTCTAGTGTGCCATTAATGACAGACTGGCAGGCTTTGCTTTTCGCTTGGCCTCGTCTCTGGTAGCCAATTGCTGGGGGACTCTGACTGAATGTGAGTTTCTGAGCCAGGGGTGCTGATTTGACATACGGGCATAAGAAGGCAGAAGAAGACTCCCGTCTTGCGGCCATAGTCTTCTGCTCGGCTCTTCAAACTGCTAGACGCTCTCCACCCGTTATATCTGACTTGAGTGCTGACATCGACGGAGGTCGCTTGTAGTCGAACTGTTCCGGATAGCAAGTTGACTGTGTTTAACTATGCTCTTCATCCCTCACGCGCCGTGGCTTGACATTGCTGTATAGAAAAGGTCCCTCCTCGTCCTTCAAACCCTCCCTTCACGAGAGTTATATCCCCTTCGGTTTCAGGTTTTTTTCTTTTATCTCTCCACAGGTTATCTGCCTGGATATACGGCTTCATTCATACTGTTACCTTCACATGGCGGAAGATACTGTTGCAGAGGGGGCTGCAGAAGCGTCAGCATTGCAACCCCAGCCGTATCAGGCTTCGAAACCGAAGCGAGGGAAGGGAAAGGACAAGGAGAAGAAGGATAAAGATGATAGCACTCCCCCGGTCAAGAGACGGTGCGTATCGACTGCATGTATTGCGTGTCGCAAACGGAAATCAAAGGTCTGTCTACCTATCATCGCATCAAGCTGATGAATTCGATATACTGACCTGCGCTTTGTCTTTCGGTCATTAATAGTGTGATGGAAACACTCCCAGCTGTGCTGCTTGCTCTTCTGTCTACCATACTCCATGTACGCATTTTCCTTCACGGAGCTACTTGTTTATCTAGTTGCAGTTATTGACGTCTTTTAAATAACTAAAGGCGTATATGACCCAAATTCGGACCACCGGCGCAAAGGAGTATACAAACAAGACATCGACAACCTTAGGAACCGCAACACCACCCTACAGACGTTGGTGCAGGCGATTCTAACATACGATGAAGAAGATGTTCCCGATCTCGTGCGGCAGATACGCGCTGCAGAGGACCTCGAAGTGGTTGCCGAATCTATATTGAAACGGCAAAAGCAGCTGGGCTCTGCGGCAAGCGATAATACAACTACGTCTACTGGAGCAGAATCCCCCTTCAGTGACGTTCCCCAATTTGAGTCTGAACTTATTGGCAAGATAAGTGAACTGAGGCTTGATGGTGCTGTGAAGTATGTGGGGGGAACATCAAACCTGATATTCCTGCCTGAACTCTCAGAAGATGATGAAGTATACTCAGAAGCAGAATCCCCGGGGGGCAAACCAGATATGGAGGACGGTATCAGCTCGTGGACGACTGTAACGGAAAACAAGGAGCTTATCCGGCATCTTCTCACCATGTATTTCACCTGGCATTATGCCTATTTCACAACTCTGTCCAAGGAGCTGTTTTACCGTGACTTCATAGCAGGCCGCCCCAGTCAGTATTGTTCTGCATTGCTTGTCAATGCAATGCTAGCACTGGGATGCCATTTCAGTGCCTGGCCAGCCTCTCGAGAGGACCCGAACGACTCGTCCACTGCCGGAGACCACTTTTTCAAGGAAGCAAAACGGTTAATTCTAGAGAACGATGAGCATACGAAAGCAAAACTATGTACGGTCCAAGCTCTTGCCCTTATGTCAGTCAGGGAGGCTGGATGTGGCCGAGAGGGCTCTGGGTGGGTTTATAGTGGAATGAGCTTTCGTATGGCCTATGACCTTGGGCTAAATGTGGACTCAGCTGGCATGGGCTCATATAACCTTACAGCAGAGGATATCGATGCCCGTAGGATTACATTCTGGGGCTGTTTCTTGTTTGATAAGTACGTCTTTTTTAAGCCCCCTGTTTTTCTCCTTCATGAGAGAGCATACATTGACATATGCAGATGCTGGTCTAACTACCTTGGACGCCAACCACAACTTTGTGGACCCCATATCACTGTTCCAAAATTTGATGTATTCCCTAAGGAAGACTCGGAAATCTGGTCACCATATACGGATTCCGGCATTTCAGATGACTACAGTCAACCCTCGAGAACAAGAGCCGTAGCCCTGCAAATATCCAAACTTTGTGAGATCAGTAATGACCTGCTAGGTGCATTTTACAATACGGGACCCTCAAAGCAGATTTCTAAGCAAGAGGAGCTGAGGCGGTTGACCCAGCTGCACACTCGTTTGGAGGCATGGCGTAAAGCACTTCCTCCGGAAATGGAACCAAAAGATGGCCAATTACCCCAGGTCCTCCTTATGCAGTATGTTATCCACAAACTCCCAGAAATTTTTCCCTGTTCATCTACTGACGGTTTCAATAGTATGTTCTTCCAATTACTATTTATACACCTTTACCGTCCATTTTTGAAATATACCAAGTCCACTTCCCCATTGCCAGCTCATGTTTCTCCTAGGAAATTATGTACCCAAGGGGCCTCTGTTATATCAAAATTGTTACGCCTATACAAACGTACGTACGGGTTACGTCAGATTTGCAACATTGCAGTATACATCGCCCATTCGGCATGCACAATTCATCTCCTTAACCTACCCGATAAGTCCGCCAGGCGGGACATCGCACATGGGCTCAAGCATTTGGAAGAGATTGCCGAAAGTTGGCTTTGTGCACGAAGAACTCTACGGATCCTGGATTTGCTATCGAAGAGGTGGAAAGTTGAACTTCCGGAGGAAGCGTTATCTGTAATCGAGCGATCTCATGCCAGATTCGGGTCCACCAGTTCTTGGGAACAGATGCAATCGCCTTCGTCATCGGGAGCATCACCGAAACTGCATGACCGTGTTCAGGCATCAGAACAACCAATGCATACCCCAACACATGAAGCCGCCAAATCATCAACGGTGTCTGCGGTGATGAATACCCAAGCTACATCCCACACTTCTACATATTCCGCACCAGTTCAGATTCCTCAAGAAGATGTTACCCAACTTCAATCCTCTGTTTCCACCGAACAACTCCCTGCGGAACATGAAGTGTCCTCCAAGAGTAACGAATCTTCAACCAAACAGAAACTACCAACAGTGCCGCAACCTCGTATGAACACTACCCCAAGCATTGGTAATGATATTCCTATAGGTCTCCCTCAATCTCCAACGTTTATTGACTCCGACAAGCTGCTCCAAGCCAGCCAAAACTGGTGGCTGAAGGACCAGAACGCCCTGGCTCTAGGTATGGACAATTGGTCTAGTAGCTGGGGTACTCCGAACGAAGGTACTGGTAACACCATGGACTATCCAACCTCAGGCAGCAACTCTATCCCCCCAATAGAGGCCACTGATGCTTACACAACCCACGCCCAGCAACCCATGCATATCGAAGGACTCCTTCCAACTGCCGCGGCTCTTGGACTCTCTCATCCAATCACTTCCACTGGGAACTATAATTCGGAATTCCTTGCATCTCAAAACAACCCCACCCACCCAAATATCGCAAACTACATGTCTCAACGGGGTGACGGGGAATATTCTGAGCAAAGCGACATGTTCTACTAACTGTTGGCGATGATCTCCATTTGATGAGGGCATCTTATGATTTATCCACTGTCGCATATATAGCTTTTTGAATATATATACATACATCATATACCCTAAACTTGATTTTCAGCATCTATACCCCTATTTTTCCCTTTTGCATTTGCTTATAACTCACTCTCCCTGCGTATAGCGTATTCGCTATTCTTTCCTTCCCTCTACATTACACCCAGGAAATTCTGCAGGTACTTTTCCTCATTATTGCCATGTCTAATCACCAGTATAGTGCATCTGGCTGAATTATACCTGTTATCTACCGCATAACTAGGAGTTTTTGATAAGGGTGGGTATCTCACTTAAATATTCTATCCATTAAGTTACTGGCGAGGCCTTTTAAACTGTCTGGTTTCTACCTCGTTTAGAAAATTTTAAGTCTAAATAGTTACAGACGGCATCATAGTTCTAATGCGTTGATTGACTTAGATAAAGAATGGTAAGACTGTTCCCTCTAAGTTTTTGCATAGCTCAGCATTATGTTTGCATACTTATTTTACATTATGTACTCTGAGGCGATGAATTCATTAGTCAATTGGCATGCTCCTTTAAAACTATAAACGCTATAAAACAGACTGCATCAATGTAATCAATGAAAAGGTATTAATCACTATCCAACAGAAGAATGTGCATGTTAGCTAGTGGTCTCCAATGTCCAAAGTGGGGTAATAATAAAACGTATCCATACCAAGAAGTAATCAGCAACAGGTTTCTTAGCCGGCATTCCACGGGTATCCTGAGGAGCAGCATCGAACACCCTGTACCGTCTCCCAGGGCCAGGAACTCTCTTCGCATCAAGCATCCCAGCGCGGCCACCGAGGCTGCGCCCATAATCACCATTGCTCCGTGCAATGGTGCCTCCATTACTTGCATCTTCGCCTAGCTCAAGTATAGCTGCCACATTTCCACATCTGTAGCAATAGTTCGGAGCTGACCAAACGGTGACGATACCGCCGTCAAACATTTCTTTGAAGCCTTCCATGACAAGTTGGTGAGCACGCGCGATTAGGGATAGATCGTTCTTGTAGCTGAAATGCTTAACGATATCTGCTCCGAATAAGAAGCCTGCTCCGCGGGGACTTAGGCCCCAGCCTTCGATTTCATCTGGATCTGACCAGAGGAGGTCACACATGGCCCCTTCATGAGGAACTTCCTGTTTTCGGTCAATGAGCCGAATTTTATCAACACTATCTACTAGAGGGGAAAGGCCACCATGAACACAGAGTACTGCTCCGGTATTGCTGGACATGCTGCCCAGACTGTCTCCGGTAGCACCAGTCCCCGCAGGCCCAGTACGAGTAGGCGTATTGCTAGGAATGGATGATATGTCTCTCGGCGGTGAGACGTCTCTGATATCATGTGCAATATTATTGGATCCCCGACTCCTCTTTCTGTAGGAGGCCAACGTGACTTCACCCTTTGAGTTCAACACTTCGATCTCCAGTTCATCATCATCATCTATTGCCGCATTCGAAGAAGGCTGGGTATCTTGATGTTCTCCTACAGCGCCAGGCTGAGCCACCACTGGGCCCGAAGACGACAACTCTGTGCTTGCTCCCAAAACCAAGGCACCCAACGCTAAATAATCAAATACTTCACAACAGTACCGCCAGACATTGGCATTGCCGTATTTTCTAATGCATTCGTCATAAAATCCGTAAACTGTCGTGATTTGTCTCGATTCGTGGTTACCTCGGATGAGTGTCATGCGGTCTGGGTATCGAACCTTGAGGCAGAGGAGGAGGAGGAAAGATTCGAGAGAGTAGAAGCCACGGTCGACAAAGTCGCCCATGAATAAGTAGTTGGTGTCGGGTACATCGCCTCCAACCCGGAAAAGTTCCATTAAGTCATGGAATTGGCCATGGATATCCCCACAGATGGTAACGGGTGCATCCACTGAAACGACATTTCCCTCTTCAATTAATATCTCTCTAGCTTTGTAGCAGAGCTCTCGCACTTGGTATTCGGGGATAGGGCGACAGGAGCGCAGCTGCGCAATGGCTCTAGAAGGGGTAAAAAAGAGAAAAGCAAAGTCAGTAGAGGTGAGCAAGGCGGTAGGACGGGTAAAAGGCCGATATACTTGTCTAGGTCGCTCATCTGTCAGGCGAGGACCGCACAAACACCCCCCGTGTGACTATCCAACGGCGTCTATTTGTTTTCTGACAGCTGCTCTAGCGCTGAAGGCTTTCCGATCCTCGTCCCCTGTTATTGTGCCCTGTAGGGGGTGGGTGACGATATCACGAGGGGTGGTTTCCGGACTTGAATTTTGCTATGTCGGGAGAGCCGTGGACCTCATCTTTCTATCGCAGGGAAACGGGATAAACGGATGCTCGGTACGCACACGAAGCTTATGGAACCTAATTTGGCACGAAATGCAGGGAATGTGCATCTGCTGGTTGATCTGGGGTAGGCAGGCCAGTTACGCAGCATCGGTGGCGCGAAGAAAAACGCGAGGTTGGTTTGGGATCCGTGGTTTAACGAGCTCACTAGCCGCTTTTCCTGTTAGTTAGTCAGGCGGCTGGCGCGATTGATAAGATAACTAAGACCCAAGGCTTCCCGGCAAACCTACCAAGCGCCGCTTAGGAGATCAACACGCCCGCCAGACATGGCCCTGCGTATGATAAGCGACGCATAGGGCGTTCAGCGGTCTGCAGAAGAGTCATACTTCTCACCAAGCTGCTTGCAAGTGAATGCTGTTTAGGAGGAGCGGTAATGCTCGTACATCTGGACCCAGACAGAAACGCCTGCCTCTTGCTTGAAAGAAGACGACGGAACAAGGCTCGCGCACTCCTGGACATTCGGCGTACTACGAACGGGTACTCTTAATTTCTCCTCATATCATGCCTTTTCTCGTCTTTTACCATATATTTTTTTTGTCTTCAATCAAAGGGCTTTGTTAAGCGCCCTCCAGAGCCCACCCTCCACGCTCACCCGCCGGCGGGCGACAGGGTATGATCACGTGAGTGCTGCTCACTTTTACTTGGCTTGTGGTTGGCTGCAGCGAAAAAAGTTCCAACTTGAAAGGCTTCCAGGCGTCTGAACACCAGGAAGACACCCAGCCATCAGCCATTGTCCCATCAGCAGGACCTGCACGGCCATCTGAACACGCTTGACTGAATATACGAGCCTTTACTAAGCCGGTTGGCTGTTTTATCCTCGCAATTGACCGGTGCAGGACGCCTCCAAGAACCTCCATCCACCACACCCTCATCGCGCAAGGAGTCAAAGACTATGGAGCATTCGAAGACATATACCACCATATAACAGTACCTACGCTCTTGCTAAACTCCTCCGATCAAGAATGTCTTCACATCTCCACCCGCGGTCGCGGTCGACCATGTCCCTCTTCACAGCAACACTCCTCGCATCCCTTCTAATAGTTGGCGTACCACATGTCTTTCCTTGTCCTGCTCCACGACGAGCACTGGCCGACTCGGAGATTATAGTCACCGCAGATGGACAGCAGATAAGGCGTAAGAGAAGACGGAAGGAACCAGTCTCCTCCCCCGATGAAACTGGATTATCATCGTCAGATCAATTGGCCGGACATTCGGTACTCGGCTCTGCAGCCACGAATATCATGGATCAGACACCCGCAGTTGGACGAGAACTACGGGAACAAGCAGCGGAGTTCAGGCACATGGAGGCAGAGGCGAAAGAGCTTGGGAAAACTGCGCGAGAGTGTCCAGTACCGAAGCCAAAGGGAATCCTCGGCCAACTTCTCGGGTTCGGTGCGGATAAAAGTGATCAATTGAAAGCAGAGCCCCCCCATACTGATATCCAGTGGAAGAGAAACACAGAGTGATGTGGTCAGCTTATATCTTTAACGTCATATAACGGTTGAAGGGCACTAAATACCAAAGTTGTCCAGAGGTTGGCGTTAAATTATAAAGTAAGTGATATATGTTATACTTATGGCCAACCCAATACTCAACTATGTTTGACAACGCAAGTGAGAGTTCACTAACTAGTTTGATAGGTATCTATGTATATTACCTAGAATATATTTCATCTACGGTCGCTGTCTGTTAATCAGTTTATCCTCTTCAGCCAACTTGGATCGAGTAACCTCCTCTGGCTTGCGTTTCCCTGCTAGTGTCTGTCCTATGCAACCCACACAATGAAGAAGCGCGAATAGATCTCGGCTGTTCATGGTTTGATGCACTGGTAGCATTTTCACTTCCCCTTCCTTGACTTCGCCTTGAGAACCCTTTAAATCATTGCAACCAAGTACCCTTTCCCTATTAATCGGTTTCTGCCCTCTTTCAGGAACCTAAAGTGGTTAAATTCAATAGATCCAGGCTAGTCCATTGATATCAAGCTTGCTAAATGTCCTTAAGCCCTTATAATATTATTCAAGTCCCTGAAGGAGCGCCATTATTTTTTACAAAGTCTATAAGGAAAAAGGTCTCTATTACACCCGCCTGCTTTGGCTCTATGTTTTTAACGCCTTATAGTTGAAGAGGCTGCCCGAGTAGTCGACTCGAAGAATGATATCGGGAATAACTACGGTAATTTATCACACCACTCTATTTTTTTCCTTGTCACGGCAAGAATGATGGGAAAAAAAAAAAAAAAAAAAAAAGGCAAAAAAGAACTCCCTGACGGGGAATCGAACCCCGGTCTCCCGCGCTTGTTATTCTCAGCGAGAATTGACAAGCGGAAATCATGACCACTAGACCATCAAGGACTGCTGGGAGTGGAGCGGCCGGTGGTGGCCTTTGTGTCACGCGCGCGCGGGCCGGAAGCGGAAGCCTTCCCAATGAGCAACACCAACAACTCCGCGCAGTCCTAGTAATACCACGACCCCCGTCCGTGTACTCCGTATATAGCATCATCCAGGAGATACGATGCAAGGAAGAAGAGACAGCCTGCCTGCAGTTTGGCTGTACAGACTCTCCGTCTTCAATCTGATAAACGTAACTACGGAACACCTAGTTAAGCCAGCCAGCCTTGCAGCTCTGGCCTGCGTCTCGGCTGTTTCATCAGCCAATCCCAGCAACCAGATTCATTCCCCAGTCTTCAAATACGATCCAATCCAGCCAAAATTGGCAGATTAAGGACAAAGAAGCCAAGGAAGTTGTTTCTTGAAGGATCAACTTACTCTGGACAAAATGGACAATTTGAGTATCAGTTAACTTCTTCGAGATGCAGCAAGTATGTACTCCTCCACGCCAGAGCACTGCTTTCTAGCCTTGTCCGGCTCGACATGGATAGTTATTTCGCCGGCCTACGTACAGAATTAGTAACGATGATGATAGGGGATATATCAAACAGCAGCTTGACACAAGATAGCCATGCCGTGCGGATTATTTTTCTTTTTTCCATCACCCTTGGGATTATCGTCCGTGACGTACTGGGCTTAAAAATCATGCCGTCAAGCTAAGGCTCAGGCCAACAATAAGAAGAGTTGCGCCGGCTCCTTCGGGGGACAAAGAATTCCCATCTTCCCTAACTTCTGAGACGATATGAAATTCGGCCTTCTGACCTGGCAAGGCTGGACTTTGGCTCTCTGAATTGGTCATTGTCCTCTGAGGAAACGGATTATACCTACCACAATACATATTCGTTAGCTCGTTGTTCAACTCGTGAGACGAGTAACGAGGAGCCAACTCATACACAATGGAGCAGAAGGTAGGCTTAATGTCATCCCACTGTGAGTAACATAGTTATATGGAGGATATCGCTAATGCGGGAACTTACGGATGGTAGGAGGTGGGAATTTCCACTTCGCGGCCATATCGAGAGTCTTCGGAGTTAGTGACGCCCTTAGCATTTGATAAACGTGTCAGTCAATTCTTTGACTACGAGATTAACAATGCTTCTGTGAAGTGACGAGTCCCAGAGTGGTAAAGCTCAGCCACGCCGGTGTCACTCACCCAAGCCCATATCGCCAACGTCTTGGTCTTCGTCATCGCCAACGTCACCTTCAACGTCTACCCCGGGAACGCTCTTGGAATCAAATCCAAACATATTTGAAGTCCCAACAATCAAAGCTACCGTCGAGTCCGGGTTCCTATACCACCAGCGCTTATTTGAGAACAATGTCCCCCCTGCCGAATGGAAGCAGTTCAGTGATGAGATGGTAGAGGCGTTTGCGCTTACGACAGCAGAGAAAATCGCTGCCTGGACTGTTGGAATAAGCGTTGGCCTCGTAAGCGCCGTGCCCTTGCTGGTCTTTGGTGCTGCGCCAGGCTACTATGCTGGAAAGGCCGTGAATGCCATGTCCATCGAGACCAAAGTCAAGGATTACTTGCAAGAAGAAGGGGAATTGGTCACTGTCTTGAAACGCTGGAATAATACCGCCTTTAAAAATAGAGGAATATACGTCAGACTGGCTCTTCCCAGGAAAAAGACAAAAGAAGGCTCTAAATCTGGCAGCGGAACTTTTGATTTCATGTCCTTTGGTGCAAAGAAAAAGGCAAAAGGGAAAGATCGCTCACAAGATGGTGAAGGTGGAGGGGAAATCGACAAGAAGGAAGAGAAGAAGTTGCATAAGCGATATCGGCTGATCATTGAGGTTGTGGGTGTTGAACCAAAGCAAAAGTCCTGGAAAGAACACGACAATAATATCCCTCTGCCCAAGGGTATACTGGAATTGAATGGCGACGATGGACATAATACAGTTCCCGAATATACTCCCCGAGGCACACCCCCGTATAGAAGCGGCTCGCACCCAGCAGAACTTGAGCCAACTTTTACTAATCGGAGAGTAGAACTGGACGGTGTTAGTTATGGGCCTTCTGCAGAGCTTGAAGGGGGTGGCAGGGTGGTCGAACTCCCAGCGGAGCCCCAAACAATCGTTCATGAACTTGCCTGAACATACTAATATGAGACTCTTTTCCATGGTTCCCATTTTATGAGCTTATGTTTACGTTGTTTACATGTCCAGAAATATACCCGTATCTATACTAATTACTATTTTATTGCACAAGATCCTATTGTTATAAGAAACGTTACCATCGCTTATTAAATTGTAATAAACGCGGCAGAGCTTCTATCAACTAAACGGTATGGTTAAAGATGCACTGCTACTATCAGAAGCCACAGTGAATCTATAACTGGTGGTCCTACTCCGTAGTGTTCGTGGTATTCGGCTCACAGTAGATACCTAAATGTTAAGTATAAAAAGGTGCTAACTCCAGGTTAAACTAGTTAGTTAAGCTTCGAGCTTCCGTCTTGACGCGGTCGGTTCGTTGTTGAGCTCACTAACTAGTTACCAACCAACCCAAAAGAAAATATTGACTGTTGATTTACCACAGCAAGACTCGGTGCTACCATATCAATTGGAACCTCGTTGACTTAGAAGCTATGAAAACGGTCAGCCTATTCTAACGTCGAACAGTTTACACATACCAAAACTTCCGATTGCTCTCGCTATGAGCCGGTTATATACTGCCGTGCTAGACCTTCTCACGAACCCCAAACACTCAAGATGGATTTGTCCGCTGCTGCTAGCGTTCGATGCATGCCTATGTGCTGCTATCATACTTAAAGTGCCATGTGAGTCCTGAGTTTATCGCTACCGGTAGGATTTACGCCCCCTCAAGGTGCCCCATTAGCTGACAGATTGCTCAAATCAGACACCGAAATCGACTGGTCTACCTACATGCAACACATACACTTGTTCCTTTCCGGTGAAAGAGACTACACGGCGATTAAAGGGTCTACGGGACGTCTCGTCTACCCTGCCGGCCATGTCTATGCATATACCGCTTTATATAATGTGACAGACGAGGGACGTGATATCCCGCTTGCGCAGACGCTGTTTGCGGCCCTATATCTTATATTCCTGGCAATTGTTATGGCATGCTATAGAGCAGTACATGCTCCGCCATATATATACCCTCTTCTCGTGCTTTCGAAAAGATTGCACAGTATTTTCATGCTGCGGATGTTTAATGATGGCCCCGCTGCAGGTTTTATCTGGCTAGCGATGTATATGATGCTTAAACGACAGTGGTATGCCGCTGTCCTGCTATGGACGCTGAGTGTAAGTATAAAAATGACAGGATTGCTTGCTGCTCCTGCAATCGCGGTTATCCTTACATTTGCTGTAGGATTTGGGCAGGCGTTGGGGATGGGTGTGTTCTTCGTATTGGTACAGGTATGTTATTTTTCGTTACCCTCTGCACATGGGGAATAAATTATTATTGAAGAAGATAATTAAATTTATTCTATTCTAGATCTTACTTGGCCTGCCTTTCCTTCTAGAGAACCCAACAGGCTACATGACAAGGGCGTTTGAGTTTACTCGACAGTTCCTGTTCAAGTGGACAGTGAACTGGCGGTTTATCGGGGAAGATGTATTCTTGTCTAGACCTTTCTCAGTTGCATTGCTAGCAGTGCACATATCTTTGCTGGTGACTTTCCTGGCCTTTGTCTGGACTCGTCCCGCAAAAATGGACCTTGGTTCTTTGGTACAACAAGCATTCCGTGGACGAAACCTGCAACGCAATATATCGAACTCCTACATTGCTACAACCATGATGACATCCGTGGTTATCGGCCTGCTCTGTGCACGGAGTTTGCACTACCAATTCTATGCGTATCTCGTGTGGACAACCCCCCTGATACTGTGGAAAAGCAGTTTCCACCCAGTTCTTGTGCTCATCCTATGGGCTGCGCAGGAATGGGCATGGAACGTCTATCCTAGCACAAACGCGAGCTCGACGATGGTAGTGGGTTGTCTCGCAATTCAGGTCCTAGGTGTGTTCTGGGGGGTGCAATGTGAAGAACAAAGGCCAGCTAAGCTCAAGGCTGAAACAAAAGACGTTATCGACAATCAAAATTAACGGTCGATCACACCTCGTCGTCGTCTGAGGGAGGGAGTTTTCCAACGGTGGACTCTTCGTCATCACTGTCCTCGACGACTTTCTTCACAAACTCCTTTGGCCTACGAAAGACACTATATTAGCACTCTACTTGATCTATAATGGATTACAAGCTTGAGACGAACCAGAAATCTGCCTTTCTCCATGCCTTGTCGTCCCTAACTATATTCACAATCTCTCCAGACAGCTTGTTATCTCGCTCTTCTAACGCTGTGGAATCTACGACGACAAAAGTGCCTCGTTTCATCCAGATAGTAGAACGGAAACGTGCTGGGAGTTCAACCAGTATTGACTCCTTGGATGGCAGTTCGACGGAGTATATGTTGTTTCCTGTTGCCTTGACGACTCGGGCGATTGACTGTCCTTCCTCGAGTGCTGGTGGTGGGTAGAGCGTCTCTTCGGCCGTGGCCAGCATCTTTCTCCTCGGCTTACCCATATTTCTGAAATACCGAGCCCGTCACTGTCAGTCAGTCGGTTCGCTAGTTAGTGAACGACCAGATAACTTTCAATTTTGATCTTCGAGCTTTTGCGGCTTCCACGGACTCTTTTGGCCGGCAACACCCGCCCGGGCGCCCTAGTGGTCACGTGCATAGACAATCTTCGACCCTGAGACCAACCCCCCTTTTATATCGAGATAAAAGGACGAAGACGAAGATAAAAGTTGATGATAGGCGGTTGTGTTCGAAAGAGAAGGACAGACTAAGGCGACGCTGGGCAGTGATGTGATAGATAGCGCTATCCGTGCGGATGGCATCTCGGTACCCTTTCCCCGTTGGGTTGGACTATATGGTCAACAAGGGCTTTCGGAAGATCACTTATCTAGCTCTCTCCTACGGCACAAGCTCCGAGACCATGCCAGTGAGCTTGTCGGAAGCAGGTTCTTTACTCCTGCGATTCTCCTCCTGACAAACCTCGGGTAACTGTACTATAATGCACGCCGATATGGAAGACAGAAAAGGAGAGGGTCTTGCTTCGGCGAGGGTGAAGCTGCCGAAGCCTCGCTAACTAGCCCGCTGATCTTTGTTCTTGCTAAAATGGAACCAAGCTCTCTATGTATACTCCGTACGGAGTAGTTAAGCAGTAACTAACTTATTCGCCTGCCATTTGAGCCTTGGATAGCAGGCGGCTGTCTTTGGGCATCGTGTGTCTACATAGTACCAGGAGTATAGACGGCGAGGCGCTTTTTACTATTCCAGGGCTCGTTCAATATCCGATGTGTGTTTGTTTCCCTTCGGGGCCAGTAGATAACTAGACAGGACACCTAACTGTTTATGCAGCGATTCAGGGGTTGGGCAGCCCTACCGCGTCGAAGCCATAACAAAAACCACCCACCACTACCGCTGGGCGGCCATCTTCTACAGTCAGATGCCCAGAGACCACTGACTACATGTACCTGCTACTCTCTACCTCACAACGTTCTTCTTCTTCTGCTGCTGCTGCTCTCTGCTCTGTTTCGTGCGTGGGCCCAGCGCAGATAATAGTTATACACTCCCCACCACGAAAATATTGCGGCTCTTTCCCTTCCCCCTCCCTAGCTGACTAGTTAGTTAAAACTAAGTTGTAAGTTAGTCCCAAGAAGAGCGAGAAAAAACCACCCAACGTCAAACCACCCTCAGCTGGCTCGCGACCCCGAGATGACCGCCTAAGAGCCACCAACGGGCGCACCTCAACTTCCCTTTGCTTTCTTCATCGCTCCTCGGACGCGGGAACGGCAGCTGGCATCGCTGCACAACGCTCTTCTCTCGCGGTGCTGTCGTAGTGGCCAGTCGCTCGGTTGGTGTTGTCCAGTTACATACAAAACGTCACTCAAGCACCCATCTTGCACGACAGCGGGAGGTACATGACGCCTGCCAGAAGCGCATGATCTCCGTCCCAAGCACAGACTCTCTCCTCCATACAATTGCACAGTCTTCCCTTCTTCACGATCTCTCGCTGATCTGGCTGAACAGCTCGCTTGCGTTGCCGCCCCGGGCCTTTCGGAGACCCTGTTCGCTCTCCTAGCCCCCCCGCACCCCGAGACACAAGACCACAACACACACTGCGGGAATACGCTCGTCTTATCTTAGCTGAACCGGCAACTCAGACGAGTCCTACAAACCTATTAGACGCGACTATAAAGCCGTCTCCTCCTCCAATACCGCAAACATGGAGGGCGACGACGAGCTCATCGCCACCGTGTATCGCAAAATCGATCGCGAGAAGGCCCTCATTGCTGCCGCAACAAATATGAGACAGTCTACTGATAACCCACTCGTACAGCAGCGAGTGGACGCCAATATACGGGATGGACGGAAGAACATTGCTTATCTCGAGGAGAAGATGCAAGAGCTGCAGCTTCGAAAGATGGGCCGTGGAAATACTTCTCCTACCGCGACGCGAGGCCCTGGTGACGGCCCGCCTTTACCCCCAAAGGACGTCGGCTCCTCATACCGTGGCAGTGACCAGGGTGGCTATGGAGATGTTGGCCCAGGAGGTTACAGCCAGGGTGGAACGGGCATGATGCCTCCCCGAGCACCTTTCCACGACCCCCGTCCGGACTCCGCCATGCCCAAAGCACGCCCAAATTTTAGCAAGTTAGGTTCGTTTCTTGCTACCCAGCTCCGGCTTTGCTATTGCACTTTATAATATATATGATCTTTTGCTGACTGGTGCTGGTTTTGTAGATTTGATCAAATATGATACTCCATATTTGGGACCTAAGATTCAGCTTATGCTGTCACAGCTCGAGTTCAAATTAAGTGTTGAGAAACAGTACAAGGCTGGTATCGAGAAGATGGTGCGGCTTTATCAAGACGAGGGTGATCGAAAAAGCCGAGCAGATGCAGAAGGCAGGCGTATCGAGAGCAACCAGAAGATCCAGCTGCTAAAACAGGCCTTGAAACGATATGAGGACCTTCATGTTGATATTGAGAGTGCATCAGATCATCCGGATGGTTAGAATATTCCTCAATGCGTTATGGTCACTTTTTCCGTTCTGGACTTTACTAACCCACTGCTTAGATGACAGTTTGAATGCCCCCAACATGCGCAAGCCTCTGACCGGTCATCTAACTATGAAAATCCATGCTGTTAGAGACGTTGACCATGCTGCTGGATCTAGATTTTCACGGGGCCCGGAAACGTTTGTGATCATGAAAGTTGAAGATGCAGTAAAAGCCAAAACCCGGGCTACTAGGTCAGATAAATGGACTGAAGAAACCTTTAACGTGGACATTGACAAGGCAAACGAGATTGAACTCACTGTGTATGATAAGTCCGGTGACCGACCAACGCCTATTGGTATGCTCTGGATACGGATTTCGGATATTGCGGAAGAGATGCGCCGCAAAAAGATCGAGACAGAATTCAATGCCTCCGGATGGGTTTCTGCTGATAAAATGGATCATGGAGCCATCAGGCCAGATACGCAGTTCCAGGGAAGCTCGTTCCAACCTAGCCAGCCCGCCAGAACTCAACCTCCAGGGCAAGCTCCTATCGGTCAAAATGCCACAGTCATGGTTGACTCATGGTTTGCTTTGGAGCCCGTGGGGAGGATACACCTTACGATGAGCTTTGGTAAGAATTTCTTTGTTGAAATACTGTCCTTGCCTCTACTTCTCATATATCAAAGCACATGAAACCCTTTATTTAATGGGAACTATACTAACAGTAAGCCTAATAGCCAAACAACTCAAGGATAGGCGACCGTTTGATATCGGTCTCAACCGTCAAGGAGCCGTCCGTCAAAAGAAAGAAGAGGTCCATGAGAAGCAAGGTCACAAATTCATTACCCAGCAGTTCTACAACATTATGCGGTGCGCTCTTTGTGGTGATTTTCTCAAATATGCAGCGGGTATGCAGTGCTCTGACTGCAAGTATACCTGTCACCGAAAGTGCTACCCTAAAGTTGTGACCAAGTGTATTAGCAAGGCAAACTATGAGACCGATCCGGATGAGGAGAAGATCAACCACCGCATTCCTCATAGGTTCGAGGGATACTCCAACATCTCTGCTAATTGGTGCTGCCACTGCGGTTATTTGTTGCCTTTCGGAAGGAAGAATGCCAAACGATGTTCCGGTATGTATCACCATTTCTTCTCACCTATCTACAAGACAGGTGTACTAACTAGTATAAATAGAATGCTCCCTTACCTGTCATGCTAACTGTGCTCACCTGGTGCCTGACTTCTGCGGGATGTCCATGGAGGTAGCTAACCAAATCCTGGAGACTATTATCAAAGCAAGAAATACCAATAGGACAAGTGGTGGTTCAACCAAACCCCCTCGTCCCAAGCCTGCACCTATTGAAGGTGGACATCGGCAATCTCAAGACAGTTACGGCGCACCAATGATGTCTCCTTCAGCAGAAGCTGTCAGTGCAGCCAGCTCTTCATACATGCCTCCACAATCTCCAACTTCTCCAGGACGCCCCGTTGCCTCTCCACATAGCCCTTCAAGCGCTGCCGCTGCTGCCGCGGCGGCGGCGGCGACAGGCATGCGCCCAATGCCACAGCAGACAGGGTATGATAAACCGCTTTCAAACCATCCCAGAGTCATCGCTGAAGAGCCCTCATGTACTAACTGCGAATCTAGGTTGCCCCAGCAGCAACAGCCGCAGCCACCACCACATTCTCACTACGACCCTGGAGCCTATGCGCGTGTCCAAGCACCCCAACTCCCTCCAATCCAAGTCGGTCACCAGCCCGCAGGACACCAGTATCCTATGGTACCACCTCACCAGCAGCATCAGCAGCAGCAACAGCAGCAACATCCACAGCACCCACCGCACCCGCAGCATCAGCAGCAACACCAGCAGCCAGCCCCTGTTGCTGGCCACCCATCAGCTCTTGCTACGAAGGATCAAGTGCCACCACCCACTTCTGCACACCCCCAAAAGAAGGCTGGTGCTATGATTGGATTGGATCATTTCAACTTCCTTGCAGTTCTTGGTAAAGGAAACTTTGGAAAAGTCATGCTTGCAG